TTAATCCAGCGTATGTTTGTTTGTCACCTCCGCGCTCACAGACAGTTCTGCTCTGGGGGCCGTGGTGGTGGTGGTCAGGGGCACGTGGGGCGGAGGGGGGCTGGCCGGAGGGGAGGGCAGGCTGCAGAAGGTCCCGCTGGGGGGTCTGAAACTCTGGGGCCGGGCCTGGATCATGTGGATGCCTCCGATGGGGATGAGCAGGCTGGGGGGCCGGCCGGAGCTCTGGGAGTGGAGGGGCAGGTGGCTCAGGAAGTTAGGGCTGGGGCGGCCACGGCTGGGATGGGGGCCAGCGTCATGCTCGCGTGGAGGCTGGAGGGTACACACAAAACATGTCATTTTTTGGGTGATTTTGAACAGATGCAAAACAGGCTGCAGAAATATTATTACTGTGTGGAGTTTATGTTCTTAAAAGTTTAAAGCTGGAGTATAAGACTTTTTTCAGCCCACTACATTTTATCAGAAAAAGAGCTGATGAACTGAGAGAGGACTGGTTCCCTGTTTTTCAGCTTTCCAGATATTATAGTAGATGGCCAAAAAGACAAGTGAACACTAGCGATAGACCAAAATTGATTTGAGAGAGAGGAAATAGTTAAAATGCTTTGGTTTAAAAGTAAGTAATGTAAGTAAGTAATGTTTATTTTTGTAGCGCATTTTACAGACCAAGGTCACCCAAAGCGCTTTACGCGTCGCCGAACACACTGGAGAATCAGCCCCCAATCAACACCATCCATTCACTCTCTCATTTACATTCATACCTATTGTGCATGTTTTTAGTGGTAGGGGAAACCGGAGCACCAGGAGGAAACCTACGCAGACACGGGGAGAACATGCAAATTCCACTCAGAAAGGCCTTGTTCTGACCGGGATTGTAAAAGTACTTCAGGCAGGAGAAACTAGACAAGATATTTATAGTTAATACTGAGTCAAATCTGAATACATCTGTTTGAGACACTTAGTCAAGATAACAATAACATTCATACAAACAAAACGATACATTCATATCTAGTTTTTTTTCATTATATAGTTGCGTCATTAATGAAAAACAAAATCGTGAGCGCTGCCTACAGTTGCGGCTGAATGAAAAGCCTTCTGGCCTTCAGAGGCTTCAAGTTTAAAAAAAGAAACGGTTCACCTTGTGTTATGAAAGGTTATTTTTCAGTCGTGTCTGTCATCTGAACAGACTGTATAAGAGCAGGCCCACTCTTCTGTGAGGCCACCTTTAATAGCTATTATGTGTCTTATAATCCACATACATCACGCCACACTGCACCACTGTCTGGACGCTCAAGGCTGCCTAAAGGCCGATAAACTTATAAAAAATTTGAATAATTTATCTTTGATTTAAATGCTATGCTGTAGTGGAAGATGAGAGACACACTGTAAATCCTCCTATGACTGCATTAGTGTGGTTTTAATGGCTAAAATCCATGTGCACAGAACTAACTGCGGCGCTTGTTTCACACAGAGCTGTTTTCAAATCGTGCCTTTTTTGTTAAAACATCAATTTTTGTGGTATAATATGTTTGGGGGGGATTTATCAGAATCCATAGATCCCAATATGTGCAGCCCTACACCTTGTTCAAATTCGGGACCAATCAAATTATCTGTTATCCGTCTTACAAGGCAGCCAAGATTTCATTTTTTTTAACAACCAGTCTCTTTTAATCAGCAGCGGCCCAGGAATAACATGTTGTGAACTTGGTGTAAAAGTCAAGAGAGTTGCCTTTGCTTCCATTTCCCCATAAATGTGACTTTTAAATAGCTTCATATGTGCACTTGTATCTATATCCGTTCTACTTGTTGACTATCTGCTCAGGTGAGATTTTTATATACTGACAGATTTTCAAGTGAAGGGAAGAAAACAAACTCAAGTCCTGAACGCAACATCGACGATAAGTGATGACCTGGATGCCCCTCATTCAGATAGAAGTTGGTATAGCATTAGTATTAGCATAGTTTGAACGTGTGACTGCAGCGCAAAAAAAATATGTTTGAAAAAATTCAGCAAAAAAATTATGTTTTTCAGAAAAATGCATCGTAAAGGTGAATGTAAATGTGTATGTATGTATATGTGGGTAAATATATCTTTATGTATATAAAAAAGAAACCCATAAATGTTTGTATGAATGTATGCTCATGTACGTACAGTGCCTTGCGAAAATATTCGGCCCCCTTGAACCTTTAAACATTTCGCCACATTTCAGGCTTCAAACATAAAGATATAAACATTTTATCTTTTGTCATGAATCAACAACAAGTGGGACACAATCGTGAAGTGGAACGAAATTAATCCATCCATCCATTTTCTTCCCCTTAATCCATTTCTGGGTCGGGGGGGTGGCAGTCAAAGCTGCACCCAGTACACTTAGCATCAGCCCCTCACTGATCCTCCTGCAGGTGGTGAGTCCACAGGAGCTGAGATCTTTCAGCGGAGGCTTTGGGCAAAGTTGGGTTAAGTGTCTTGCCCAAGGACACAACGACAGCAGTCATCAGTGGAAGTCGTGAAGTAGGTCTTACGGTGGGATTGATGGCCCAAAGGCCAATGCTGTCGCTAGGCGACAGTAGCTCAGTTGGTAGAGCCGAATAATATAGAGCCAAATAATATTGCACGCCCCTAGTGGGGCGTGCAATATTATTCGGCCCCTTTACTTTCAGTGCAGCAAACTCACTCCAGAAGTTCAGTGAGGATCTTTGAATGATCCAATGTTGTCCTAAATAGAATGCACCTGTGTGTGATCAAGTCTCTGTATAAATGCACCTGCTCTTTGATCGTCTCAGGGTTCTGTTTAAAGCGCAGAGAGAACCATGAAGACAAAGGAACACACCAGGCAGGTCCGAGATACTGTTGTGGAGAAGTTTAAAACCGGATTTGGATACAAAAAGATTTCCCAAGCTTTAAACATCTCAAGGAGCACTGTGCAAGCAATTATATTGAAATGGAAGGAGTATCAGACCACAAGCCACCGGGGAGACACACCAAACATGTGGAAGAAGGTGCTCTGGTCAGATGAAACCAAAATCAAACTTTTTGGCCACAATGCAAAACGATATGTTTGGCGTAAAAGCAACACAGCTCATCACCCTGAACACACCATCCCCACTGTCAAACATGGTGGTGGCAGCATCATGGTTTGGGCCTGCTTTTCTTCAGCAGGGACAGGGAAGAAGGCTAAAATTGATGGGAAGATGGATGGAGCCAAATACAGGACCATTCTGGAAGAAAACCTGTTGGAGTCTGCAAAAGACTTGAGACTGGGACGGAGATTTATCTTCCAACAGGACAATGATCCAAAACATAAAGCCAAATCTACAATGGAATGGTTCACAAATAGACGTATCCAGGTGTTAGAATGGCCAAGTCAAAGTCCAGACCTGAATCCAATTGAGAATCTGTGGAAAGAGCTGAAGACTGCTGTTCACAAACGCTCTCCATCCAACCTCACTGAGCTCGAGCTGTTTTGTAAAGAAGAATGGGAAAGAATTCCAGTCTCTCGATGTGCAAAACTGATAGAGACATACCCCAAGCGACTTGCAGCTGTAATTGCAGCAAAAGGTGGCGCTACAAAGTATTAGCGCAAGGGGGCCGAACAATATTGCACTCCCCACTTTTCAGTTTTTTATTTGTTAAAAAAGTTTAAATTATCCAATAAATTTTGTTCCACTTCACGAATGTGTCCCACTTGCTGTTGATTCTTGACAAAAAATTTAATTTTTATATCTTTATGTTTGAAGCCTGAAATGTGGCGAAATGTTGAAAGGTTCAAGGGGGCCGAATACTTTCGCAAGGCACTGTATATGTATGTTTTTATCACGTATAATATGTCCATCCATTTTCTACCCTTTAATCCATTTCTGGGTCAGGGGGGTGGCAGTCAGAGATGCCACCCAAGTCTCATAGCACCAGCCCCTCACTGACCCTCTGCAGGTGGTGAGTCCACAGGAGGACGGCTGCTCTCTGAGTGTGAGCATAGCCTTGATCTTTCAGTGGGGGCTTTGGGCAAAGTGGGGTTAAGTGTCTTGCCCAAGGACACAACGACAGCAGTCATCAGTGGGAGTCGGTGGAGAAGGTGTAGAGGTGGGAATTGAACCCACGACCTTCAGGCCTGAAGGCCAATGCTCTACCAACTGAGCTACTGTCGCCCTCGTACGTATAATATGTAATTGCTTTAAATTCCATAATTGATTACTGTTTTTAGGCTTGAAATGCATACATAAAAAACCCAGTGCAAATAGAAAAGGCAGGTAAAAAAAAGGTAAAAGTAAAAATAACATGTCTTGATTTTATTTTAGGTCAAAACAGTAGAATTGTGATAGCGGGGTTTATAGATGGACAATGCTAACCTGCTAGCTATATGAAACCTAATAGTAAAAGTAGATTATTACGATTTTCACTCTGGCTCTATTCAATTGAAAAGAAGACTCCTCTTTACTCACTCAACCAATCAGCTGTCAGCCCAAAACATCAAAAAGTGACTCATAGGGTGCTTCTTCACAAATATGCAAAAGATGACATATTTTCTAATAAGTTTAGGACAACATGTTGCTGGTCTGATTTTTTTTCCATGTATTTCACTGTTTCAAAGTTAAGTACCCCAGCATTTTTCGCTGCTATAATTCACTTGCATACTAGCCTCACCGTTGATTGCGTGCGGTCTGGGGGGGTGTTGGCCTGGGAGCGATGAGGCCCCACAGAGCCCTTCCCGTCTGCAGAGGACTGAGCTATTCTTGTGAGAAGGCACCTGTGGGACTCCGAGGAGCTGCTGACATGACAACCCGGTGAGGAGCAGGCCAAAGCGGGCTCGGAGCCACGGGGGGAGCTCGGCGAAGCTTCTTTTTCCGCGCCGCGCAGAGGGGAGCCCGCGGGGGACGTACACGGAGCACTGGGCTGTAAGCGTCTGCGGGCGAACAGGGCCCTCCTGGCGCTGGCTGGGGTCCTGTGGGGGCTGTTGGAGGGTCCCTTCGCTTCGTCACACCTGGTGTCGCGGTCCTTGGCGATGGGAGTTTCCAGTTGCGTGGATTTGTCTGCGTTGTCGCACTGGGAGCTTGTGATTTGATGGAGAGGTTTTGGATGGGGGTCTGGAGCTGGAGGACAGACACATTTTAAAGAATAAATATTACGCATTTTTTTTGGGCCTGAAAATGCTAATCAGACAATTTACTTTTCCTGTGTGAGAATGTGAAATACATAATAATATTTTAAGAATAAAATACGTGGTGAAATGAGTATGAAGAATAAAAAATGCTTTCTGCATGTAACTCCCTATACTAACACAGCTTAGAGATTTCCCTTTCTCCAAAAAATTTAGGGGCAATACGTTTCTTTTAAATGTCAGAAAACTGTTCTGAGTGTGATGTCATAGTGGTACAATGACTTACAATACAATTACAGTACAGGACTATTACTATTATTGAGACAGGAGCTTTTAGACAGAAGGGGCGGAATTATATTTTTATACTATATTAGCAATGGTGGATCTAAAAACACTGTTGTAACTTGGTTAAAGTTCAGTTTTTCATCTCATTATAAGGTTATTTAATCCACCGACACTCAAACTTCTCACACCCTTTTAATAAAAACACTTTTCCTTTGAAATTTCCCCGCTGTGGTTTGAATAAAGGATCTCTTATCTTACTTCTGAGGACCTAAAACGGGTTTCATACTACAGCGGTTTTTAGTCATATGATATTTTAAATTGTGTCACACAGTGTTTAGACCACGACTCAATTGTCTGTCTCACAGTGACACTCATCCTTTCTCTGAATTTTAGGAAAAAGGACATGACTGCATCCAAATTCAACCCATAAGCTTCCTACTTTCCTTGTTCTTCTCATTTTGAATACATTAGGCCTGAATATTACATGTAGCATTGACAATTATTTAAAAACCTCATTAATTTCCCTTGATGAAAGCTGGACAGCATTATCTCATATAAGGTCAATTTTATCAGACAAGAAAAGATAAGGAAGGAGGTATTAAAACGCTTTGGATGAATCCCATGAACAGCGGCAGATTAATAAACCATTTTTTTGAAGAGTAGGCGCCAGTACAAACTCTAAACTAGATGAAAGTTGATTGGCTAGAATTTTAAATGCAAAAGAGCAGAGGATCTTGATTACAATTAAAGAAACAAAATACAGTATTATTGTTCAGCCAAGTTTTAAAACATTCGAACCAAATATTGTTTTAATTGTTCGAACAAGAAAACTATGCGCATGACATGTCCAAACTAACCCCCACAGGGCAATTACAATACTCCATTTAATGTTATGAGTCCTGACTAGAACCAGGAAGTACGACCACATTAGTCCGGTCCTCAGGTCTCTGCACTGGCTTCCTGTGGCTCAGAGAATAGACTTTAAAACAGCTCTGCTTGTGTGCAAGTCTCTCCATGGCCTCGCACCAAAATATATTAGTGACATTTTAGTACCATATGAACCAGCCCGGACTCTGAGGAGCACAGGGACTGGACTCCTGTTAGTGCCCGGAGTCAGAACTAAACATGGGGAGGCTGCTTTTCAGATTCATGCTGCTAAAATCTGGAACAATCTTCCTGAAGATGTGAGACAGGCCTCCTCTCTGACAATGTTTAAAAAGCTGTGCATACAACTGAGGGATTTTATATTTTTATCTTTCTTTTTAATGTTCTGTGATTATTTATGATTTTAATGCTATTTTGTTTTGTTCAGCACTTTGAGTTGCCTTGTGTATGAATTGTGCTATACAAATAAACTTGCCTTGCCTTGTTATTTGTCTTTATGAGCTAAAACCATCAAAAAACATCTCCCTCTCTAAGTGCCAAAGATGTGTCTTTTAAAAACACAAAACACCCCGGTGACTTCATTCCAGCTTTCCTTCAAACGTTGGCCATTTGCATTCCTCACCTTCTGATTTGACAGCTGCACTGGAGTGAGTGTTGTGTGATGTGGCCTGCGCAGAGCCTTGGGTGCTCCCGGTCCGCACACTGGACTCCTTATGGCTGACTGGACACTCCGCAGATCTGTACTCCTCATTGGATCTGTGCAAAGCAGAGATAAGTTTAGACCGGAGTCGTATTTGGATGTCGCCCCATGAGGATGAGCCTTTAATCATTTTTTTTTTCATCTTTAATTGGGAAATTGCACATATAATCTGGACACTCAGCATCTTTTGTATGACGCTAGTTCACAAATGCCATTTTATATACATGTTTTGATGTACTGTATCTCCCGTTTATGGATTTCAGACAGAATAACTTGATAACCGATTATTCTTTCAATTAATCGATTGCTTGTTTAGATCTAGAAAGGTCCGAGATTTTTATATACATATCTTTGACCAAATAAAAGCTAAAATAATGTGATGCCCCTGGAGAACATCTTCATAGAGATGACTTATTGCACATACTTAAACCTTAAGTATAAACTTTAATCAAATATAACAACACACAATTAAACGTTTTTGCTCCTTTTCATTTGTGTAGCGGGACAACTAATATTTGAAATGTAATTGTAACATTGTGTATTGTCACGTCCACAAATTAAATAGATACATTGATGAATGAATACATACAGTACATTTTTAACGTACTACAACCCTAGATTAAAGTATATAACAAGACCACAATTCAGATTTTCTAGCTTTAACATTTTTACAGGGTCCAACACTTTAAAACATAACATTGCAAGTTTTTTCAACTTGCAAATGCGCACTTATGAATAAAATGTGTCTGAAATATATAATAATCATGTTGATAATGTACATTTTTATGTCCGCTCATCAGCCCATCTTCCCAAAGTCCAAGCATGCCATGGCCCAGGAGAATGATGGCTGTAAGGAATGAGCTGGTGGAGCTGAGTGACAGGCTGCGGGCACTTCAGCACCTGCAAGCGGCTTTCAGAGGCACTGTTTGTCTAAAGTCTGTTTGGCCTGCGCTGCACTGTGAGCTCACACTGTGGCAGCTGGGCCTCCATTTACACTCAAGGGCCCCTCAGCCAGGCACCTACTTTCTCCCGAACACTGCAGCTTTCATGAGCCAAGAGCAGACCCCCGCCCTCCTCCTCTGCACCCCTTCACACCACCCCGCCAGTCCAAACAGGGGAGTCTACCATGTGGCGCAAGGTCCCGGGGTTTGCTGCTGCCGGCCAATGAAAACACAGCACAGAGGGAGGGAAACCCGGTCCCAAACCAGCTGCTGCTCCAAATAAGTATGAAAAAACACCGAAAGTGAAAACATCGTCTTCCGACAAACAATCGATATGACTGTCCTGTGTTTTGATTTCTATTTCCATTACAGGCCTCACGGCTGCGGGCGAGCTCACCAGAAGTCATAAACACTTCAAGTTATAGTGCGACGACTTTAGCAAAACCAAAAGGTGCTATTCTACACTCAACCATATTGGCTACATACCCGATAGTTTGGGTTCAGATTCTTGTTTTGAAACTGAGACAAACCAGATACAGTACATTATCATCAAGATGTTGTCAAAGTATCCAATAAAGTTTAATTCATAAAAAAGTATAGTTTGCCGCAAAATGCTTGTTGTATAATTATTGGAAGTGGCAGTGATTTGATAATATTCGGATGCAGCAGTTCAGCCATTTACAACACCAATATTGATGACTTGTAATACAGCCAATATCAGCTGTAACAAGTGAATGGAGTGACAGTAGAATACAACACCGACCATATATTCTTCCTGGGAAGACACTGTGCTACTAGTAACTTTGTATCAATAAGAACAGGCTTATAACATCAAATGTAAGGCCCTAGCAGGTCACAGCTGGATTGATACAATAAAAAAACAATCTCCGAAACCATTATTCTAATATGAATTATAATATAAATTATGGTACTGTATGCACTTAATGTATTCTGTACTTTGTTGTCCCTAGGGCTGGGCGATTAATCGATTTTAATCATTAATTCGAGTTTTACGTTTAGGGCGATTTCTTTTTTTAAAAATTCGATTTTTATTTTCTCCAGCGCAGAACTACAGCGCTAACGCGCTAACCGCGGGTCTATGGTGTTGAGCAGTCATTTTGAAGCTAACCTAATGCTAACAGTCTCCCTCTGGCCTGATGCTCGCTCTCACAGTTGGTGCTGTTGCAATAACACTTCAAACGTTCAAGAATCAGACTTTATTTAAATCGCCAGAACACACACACGCACGCAGGCTCCGGTCGCTATGTTCGTACGCCATGTTCGTACGCCACATCTTTCACGCTCTCTCACGCTCGTTATTCCAAAGCGCACTCCCGTGTCCGTGGCGCGCACACACTCGTGTCCCACTGAGCCGCTGCACTTTGGGGAAAGACACGTCTCACACATTGCTCTCATTTCTCTGATACAAACAACGTGTTCCCCGCTGTCTGTTAGCTACAGTAGCTGCTACAGTAGCTGTTAGCTACAGCATCAGAATGTAAACAGGAAGCTCGCACGATGCGGGAGTCACTGAAGTTAGTATTAGCGCCACCAGCTGGACCGAGCGTTGTACTACAGCACAGTTACTCAGGCACAGTTGAAAGAACAAGCATGAAAACCCGAGGAGGCTTTTGGAAAAGACTGTCTGTTACAACATTTCTATTTTGAGTAATCAGTTTTAAAAATGTGATATTTCATGTAAATAATGCATGTGTTTAATAGGATGGATATATTTGCGATGGGCCTTGTTTGTGTGATTTAAGTTATTTTGAAGGTGCATAGTGTCATTGTAAGTGAAGTTATTATAAAACTGTTAAGCTACATTTTCACTGTTTACAATGGCAGAGCCATCTCGTTTACAAGCATGTTTTAAGGCTTAATTCCTGTTACACTTATGCTCCATGGGGATTTAGATTAAACTGCATAAAGGAAAATCTATTTCTTTGTCAGTTGTAGTTTGTTTTTAAATAGAAAAAAATAAATCGATTAAAATCAAAAATCGGATTTGGTGTGAAAAAATCGGAGATTTTTTTTTTTTGCCATATCGCCCAGCCCTAGTTGTCCCCATAGTGAAATTGGTCCCATCCTTTCAATGCCATTAGGGCCAGAAGCAGAGGTCGCAACAATTTTGCGCCTTGGGACCTCTCTCGAGATGTTGATGTTCAGCTCAGTAGAACTGGAGCTGGTGGGAAACTACAGAGTGCCCAGAGGAAACCCAACCTGACACAGGGAGAAACATGCAAATTCTGCATATTTCTTTCTGGGAGGCATCGCCACTACACACTTTTCTACGTCTATCCATGTACGATATGTGGAATGAACAATAAAGCAGTGGGTAGCATTGGGAAGACTGGTCACAATGTCACAATACATTTGAGCACGCTTATGCCAGAGGACCTGCTGGTAAAAACGTGCAGTTGCACCTGACCCGTTTCTCTTGAACCTATGAAGCATGGGATGAACAAATCTCTATATCAGGAGTGTCAAACTCTTGTTGGTCTGCGGCTGAATTACAAAAGTAGCAACTGGTCGGGGGTCAAAATAATAGATTACATTTTCTTTTCTTATAACGATTTGGACACAATTTTTTTGATTGATTCTTTTGATGTTTATTATTTAGATTTAACCAAAAGTGAACACATTGTTCTATGTAAGTATTTAATATATAATGGTGTGTTGGGTTAGTATTTTGATTAAATGAAATATGGTCGTTTTCCTGAGAAAATAGATCATGTATGACGTGCCATGGTAGTTAATTGCCATCAATGCTCCAAGTGTATAGAAATAAAGGAAATCACTTTATGAGCCACTAAAAATGGTCTTGCGGGCCCGATTTGGCTCACAAGCCTGAACTTAACAAGTCTATATGAATAAAGCACTATACATTCAATAGCACAGGTCACTCACAGATCTGTTCGTTGATGGCATCCCATTAATAGATGCAGTTAGTGATTCATTCACAATTCATTCAGCACTGGCAGTTTGGTTTTGGACAGTGGGTGGATGCTGAAGTAACCCACACTTGTTTTGTAATGTCCCGTTCTGTGATATTTGAATGTCAAACCAAAGGAACTGGCCCTGTTTCAGTAGCCTCCCGCCTCTGACTGTCTGAGCGCGGAGACAGACTGAGCAGACGGACGAGCAAGGGATGACTCAGTGCTTAAGGGAAGGCTGCGAGAAGTGTCAAAATGAGTCACAACTAGAGTTTGTACACGCTCCCAAAGCCCAAAAGAGTCACGAAGATGGCACTTCTCTAGCATCCTCCTCTCCACACCATTTATTTCTGATCTGTATCACTCTTCACGCTCGCCTCACTGCGGACTGACTCCTCTTTTAAGTGAAAGGAGAAATATTATGCATTATTTTTGGTGAAGATATTGCATGAGACTATTGACTTTGTTATTTAATGTTGTAGATTGCGAAATAATATCTTGAGGATAAAATATATGGTGAAACAAGTTTGTAAAAAATGCTTTCCGCCTTTAACTCCCTATGCTGCCACCAGAGAGGAAATTAGCTAACCCTAACCCATAGTCAAGTGATTGTGGCCGTGGCACGTTAGTTGAGAGGATTATCTAATATCAACTAATTGGTCAAATAATGTGAAAAGGAAATTATTAGAAAGAACCCTCACCATGCATGGAGGGTTCCATCCAAAATCCAGCACCCTGAGACTTCGTAGGACGTAAAGAAGGAGGCCGAGGACTAGTGAGAGTGAGAGCCACTGTCCAAGACGAAACATCCAAACTCCATAACTACATCATGGAGAAGGCCAAAACAGATGACGTACTCAGTGAATGTTTCAGACAGCAGCGAGAAGGAGTGGTGCTGGAGGACAGCCCATCATGGGAGGACAAGCCCCTACACGGTATGTACCACCAGGCGCAGAACCCTCAAGCTCACAGGCCTCTGGTAGAGGACCCGAGCTTAGAGAGGGATACCCACCCCCGGAGGGCGAAAGGTGAGATATTTTTTCTATGTAGATATATATCTACTGTATATGGCGATGGTGCTGGAGGAGGGCTCATCATGGGAGGACAAGCCTCTACACAGGATGTACCACCAGACCATAGCAGAAGAGCCTGATCTCAAGAAGTCCTACCAATGGCTAGAAAAGGATGGCATACAGGACAGCACAGAGGCACTCATCGTGGCTGCACAGGAGCAGGTCCTGAGCACCAGAGCGACAGAGGCCCAGATATACCACACCAGACAAGACTCAAGGTGTCGGTTGTGCAAAGGAGGACCTGAGACGATCCAACACATAACTGCAGGGTGCAAGACGCTGGCAGGGAAGGCCTACATGGAACGCCATAACCAACTGGCTGGCATAGTGTACAGAAACATCTGTGCAGAGTATGGGCTGGAAACTCCAAGGTCTAAGTGGGAAACTCCTCCAAAAGGTGGTGGAGACTGAGCATGCGAAGATCCTGTGGGACTTCCAGATACAGACCGACCGAATGGTAATGGCGAACCAACCTGACATTGTGATGGTAGACAAAGGGCAGAAGAAAGCCGTGGTGGTGGACGTGGCAATTCCAAGTGATGATAACATCATGATAAAAGAGCATGGTAAGCTTGAGAAATACCAAGAGCTCAGAGAGGAGCTGGAGAGGCCCTGGAGGGTAAGTGACAGTAGTGCCCGTGGTGATTGTGCTCTCGGGGCAGTGACCCCTTGGTCCAGAAATGTGCAGTGCTAGGAACAGCAAAGATACAGCGCAGAACCCTCCCAGGCCTCTGGTAGAGGACCCGAGCTTAGAGAGGGATAACCGCCTGTAGAGGGCAAATGGTGTGTGTGTGTATATAATATTAAATTAATAGTCTAATAGTCAATCTATATTAGCTGTAAAATTATGTACTACCCGTCTTTAGTCAACACTAGAAAATAGCATCTATAATTTAAAACAAACCAAGTCCATAAATTAGCAATGGTCTGGAAGAAAAATAATCTGACAAAGTCCTAAATAATTGACAGACAATGCTTTCTTTAAACCTTTCATTATATTTTCCTGCATCTTCAAATGGCGTTACGTCCTTCTTCAAAGTACACAATGCATATCCATTAAGGGAAACAAATATCGTTATTACCGTATTTGAGCCAACTGTGTTTCCTCTGTCATCTTCTTCTCCTCAACTGGTTTGTTTGAATCTTCTATAGTGACTGATTGACGTTCTTTGCTCTGGTCTACACATGCTGTCTTGGGGTGAATCTACAATTCAAGACAATAAGCGCTTAATATTTCAAAACAAAACACAAAAATTGGTTGATAAAATGTATATCATGTAATTACCTCTGGTGATGTAGGTCTGTGTTGCTCCTGTGTCGGAGCAGACATGGACGATGTGGTATAGATGGTTGGGCTGAGTCTTTGTTTACTGTGCAGCAAAGACATGGCTGTCTTGCTGGACAGACCAGGAGGGTTTGGGTCATACACGCTGGTAGACCAAGTTGAATACACTGAGGGCTTTTGTTCATCAAGAGCCGTAGGATTGGGTTTAATATAGTTCAAATAGCACCAACTGTTAGAGGTGCTGGACAACAGAGTAGTATAAGAAGGTCCAATCTGTGAGACTGGGAGAAATTCACTGCTTTGAGAAGAAGGTAATGGTTTGAGCTCTTGAAGGTTACAAGCTTCATCTTCTTTCACTCTTTTTTGCTGCTGTTGTGACTCTGGAGACAGTTCAATGCTGTTTGAAGGAGAGAGCATACGCTTGCTGCCTCCTGAACCCGAGGCTCTCAGCTCTTCAGACCAGACAGGCAACTCAGGACTTGCACTTCTATAGTTGAGACATTCAACTGCAGGATGATCTACGGTGTGTAATACGGCTGCATCCACTGCCTCTAAAGGTCTTGGGGAGGGGGACTGAGACAGGGTGGTATAGATGGCACAAGCAGGGCTGAGAGTGTGTGCCTGGAAACGCACCACTACTGCTGTGGAGGTGATGGGTCGAACACGCTCCAAGCTGGATATGATCTGAGGAACACTGGACTGATGCATGTGGCTTTGGGAAACAACTAAAGACTGACGAGGTCCTGGGGGGATCTCCAGCTTCAGACCTGTAGACACTGGCAGATAGTGGGCTCTAGCTGCTCCTGATAGTCCGTGTGTAGAAGGGTTTGGGGCTGTGGAGGGGAGTGGATCTTTACAAACATTTATGGCTACCTCACTGTTTAGATTATCACACCCAACTTTGTTAAATTGTTGTTCTGAGGTGTGTGTTAACTGGTCATTTTGTTGCTTCCACTGATGGACAATTTCTATGCTTTTAGAATATTCAGAGATAGTTTCCCCTTGTAAAGGTGAGCTGGGGGGCTTGCTACAGTACACTGGGGTTGTTTGAGCACTGAAGCTTCCTTCTTCTGAAGTAATGATGGATGAGGATGGCAGCTCCTCTTCATCCGGATCTCTCACAGGTGTGTGTTTTATTAAAAGACATTTTCGCCTTTCACGCCACCCTAATGCAGACCTTTCAGGAGATAAACAGCTGTAGTCAAAGGACTTACTGCGGGTCTCTGCAATTGTGACATTCTGTGGCTGTGGGTCGTGCGGTGCTTGTTCAGAGGCTGAACGCCTCATCTCTCGATGTGGATGAACACCTGGCACTGTTAACATATGAATGGCTCTAGATCTTCTTAACGATGGGGACATTTCTGACTCAAGTCTATTTGACTCCTCAAATGATGTGGACCGACTAGAGGCATATGATGCACAACTATCCTGACCAGGACTTTGTGGTAAAGATATAGACTCAAAACTAGACTCCCCTGATGATTGGGCAGCCTCAGCCAACCTCAAACGTTTCTTTTTTGGGGGGAGTTTCTCAATAGGAAGTTGGGCAAGTGATGAGCTCCTCTGTGGCCAATGGAACTCCTCCGATCTTTCTAACTGTTTGGCAGAAGTTGAAGGTATCTCAGGTAAATTGTCAAGGTTTTCATGTGAGTCCTCTGTGACCAGTATTTCAGGTACCTGAACACTGTGTTGACGTACAAGCTTTCGGCTTATGACCTTTCCTGACAATGCTGGTGGCTGTTGTAAAGTATCTGAATCACTGAGACCTTTAGGATCCACTGTTGGTTCAGTGCTTTGACTCTCAGATATAGAGTCTTGCTTTTCAAATGAACTTGTGTGCTGAATCACAGAACAGGTTTGTGTTTGTCTTCTGGGCACCTCATTGCCTAAATTACTTGACTGTTCCGAAGAGGGACATGGTGAAAAAGATGTAGGAGATGCAGGGTCTTCAAGCTCAAAGCTCTCTGCTTTTCTTCTTTTGCGCAGTGCTAACGTGCCTGGTCTGGCAGAGTGGGTAATTATTTGTGAGCATTCCATCTGACTAATGACGACTTCATTTCTTGGACGATGGACTAAACACATAGTTTGTCGATGTTTTTTATACCCATCCCAATCATTGCAACCAGTGCCACAGGTCTCACATTCGTACGGCTGGGGTTGACTCTGCTTATGGTCAGGCACGGTGGTCAGGCAATCATTGAAAAATGAGTGAGAACCTTCATACTCATCAATTGCTGGTTGCCTTCTCAGCATTCCATACCGGCGAGGTACAGAAGGTTCTCTTTCATCGAAGGACTGACTCAGGCGAAATTTATTTGAGCCCACAGGAGCAGTATCTGTAGACGTAGGTCCAGTAGGCATTGAGTGGCTTCTTAACAGGGGGGCAGATGTTCGTTCAGGAAGTGGCACATTTGATGAATTGTGTTGGAATTTTTCACATGGAACTCCCATGGTAATTGACCCACTGCTCCGATAGAGTAACTCTGCAGGTTTGTGGACCTGAAGAAGAGGTTCTTTGGGTGGTGAATTTTTTTGAGGGTCTGAATTCTTCCTAGACAATGAAAACCTCCTTGGCTTTACACTGTCAATTTTACTGGTGTCCACTACTGCCTCATTAATAGTAATGAGTTTAGTGATGTGGTCAATGACTTGCTTCTTAGGGACTGTGAATGACACACTATTGTCCTCCGGACTAGGGGACTGCTGGTTATTCTGCTGAGACATCCTTTGCAGATGTCCAAGACGTCCATATTTGCCAAGTATAATTTCTGCGTAGCTTTTGGTACTTGTGTTTTGATTGACGTCCTGTTCAATGCTTTCAGACCGGGAAAAGTAGCCTGATTCAGTGCTTTCTCTACTGCCTAAAACTAGAGACGGGTTCTTCTCATCGGTTGAATCTTTGGGAGTCTCTACTCTTCCTCTACTAAGGCGCATGGCCAGCCTCTTCCGTACAGCATATGAACTATCCATTGCAGAAACCTGTTTTTCCTGGTTTGTTTCGAGATTTTCAATTGAAGGAACAGAGGAAGCTGTTGGAAGATGTCTGGTTTCATCTTCTGACTCTGTGATTTGTTCCTCAGAGGGTCTTGCATCCCCCAGAGACAGCCCTGCCTTTACCCTGTGGGTATGCGATTTACGATGTTTGTAAAGGTTACTCTTGGTCTTAAAGGAGAAGCCACAAGGGGGGCAAGGGTATGGTCTCTCACCTGTGTGCGAACGAATATGCTTCTGCAGGACACTAGGCTTTGCACAGGCACGGCCACAGTAAGTACACACATATTTACCCGGCTTCTGGGGTTTACGGTCTCGTTTCTGTTTAGTGGTACCCTCTTGGGATTCTGGTTTGGATGTATTAGCTCCAGGTGAGGTCACAGGTGGATTTTCTGAAACAGTTTTGCTTTCTTTCTGCTTGTGTTCCGGAGTTGTGTCTGAATCAATACTCTGACGTTGAGCCCTGAGACGTTTGCGTTCAGGTAGCGGTCTTTTAGACTGTCTTTGCTGCTGGTGTGCTCCATGAGAACTTTTGGAGGAGACACTTTGTTGTTGTGGCTTTGAAGGAGATGGAGTTTGCGGATGGGGAGAATCTATTAAACTATGTTCTTGCCCTCCGGACTGCTCCCCGGTTTTTAGGGTACTGCTCAAGGTCTCCATAAAATGTACGGGCAGCTCCAGGGAGACGTGGAGGAAGCGTCTGCTTGGACAAGGTTCCAGAATTAGAAAAAATTGAAAATTAACTTAACTTAAAAAAAAAATATTGAATGTTTTTCTGGTGACTTCTCAGATTTCAAAGCTAGCTAGAGATCATTGCATCAGTGGCACACATATATTAAGAAGGACTGCAGTATTATCAAATGTGTTGTTGAAGGAATTCTCCATGGTGTCTCTAAGTACCCCATTATAATCAGTCCACCAACTTGCTTGCTCTCAGTTGGCACCCTAAGCGCATTCAGTCTTCTCTGCAGACCTGGGAAAACAAAGAAAAATCATGTCAATACGCAACAATGTCAGTTCATGGCAATTGATTGTCAAACATTATTTATATCTTCAGTGTTTTATAACTGCTGCCTCCAAATATGACATAACCATCTGCTTTACCATTCCTGCAGGCAGCATTTACAGACAATGAACGTATTTACATAATCTTTCCAGGAGGTAGTACTAATCTGATAGCGAAGGAAATCATTGCAACTATCTCGCATTTATTTTCCTTAAATGGTAATCCTGAAGCAAGAAATAATTTTGTAGAAAGGGTTAATGCTACAGAAAGTTCAACCAGTGTTTAAAGTTAATACTGATATCAGAAATAGGAGTGATGAAGGTTTCAATGACAGTTTTTTTAATGTAGAAGTAAAGAGAAATGTTGGTATACAGGTGAAACTTGTAAAATTTGAATATCGTTTTAATTATTTAACTTACAATGTGAAATTAATATATGACAGACGCATTACACACACACAGTGAGAAATATATAAAGCCATTATTTGTAAAAATGTTGATACGTATGGCATACAGCGTGTAAAAATCCCCAAATTAAACTCAGAAAATGAGAATATTTTAAAAATGGACTGCAAACCAAAATCAAAATTATAACATATAATGTGTCTATAACACATATTGGTCGAATGATAGTTAAGAGTAAAAAAAACATGTTTGGTTATCACTTATAACTGTCTGCACAGCTAGAGACGCTCTTGGCCTCATGTAATGAACATAAGAACTGACATTGTGTTGCCTGATAACACCATAATCCCATTAGAAGCTTATTACATCTGGATGAGAGATGGTAGGTGTATTACCGATGTGCTTTCATACTCTGGTTGGATCTAATCAAATTTACGGATGTCCATCTGCAATTTATCACAAACAAAAGCACTGAATGCAAAAGGAGACTTGGTGAAGAAAAGTCCCAGTATTCTGTGCGCCATCACACTGAAACGGTAAACATGGCTGCCCACGCACTGACCAGCTGGTTTGTACACCCACATTCTGGTGGAAGACAGAGAGGCTGCTGGAGAGGGGCCAATTGACTGATAACATGTTGAGAAGCAGTTTTGATGTAACTCCGGAAGAACATAACAAAAATACACTTTTCAAAATCAATG